GAAAAATGGAGAATTAGATAGAGGATGCCAGAAAATCAGAGCGCAAAGGAACTAAGATTTACTGTTATCACCATGATCAGACATTATGGTTAGAAATGTCTTGTCTTTAATTGTGGTTAAAAAATAACAACATGAAATTTAATGCTTTAACCATTCTTAAATATCAAATTAAGTAGTGTTAAGTATATTCACATTGCCTTTTCTGTCTTGTAAATCTGAAGCTCATATCTGTTAACTCCCTTTTATCTCCTGTCCCAATTCCTGATAGACAGCACTCTAGCTTTTGTTTCTATGAGTCTGACTAAGCTAAGTGCCTTATATAATGGAATCAACAGTATTTGTTTTTTAGTGGCCTATTTTTGTATTTATTTCAGTTAGAACAATATCATCAAGCTTCCCCCATGTTGCAGCATGTAACAATATTTGCATACTTTTTAAGAAGCATCAACCATCCACTGTAGGAATACACAGCATTTTGTTTATCCATTTACCTGTTGATGAACATTTGGTTTGGTTTTATTTCTTGGACATACTGAATCATACTGTTGTGAACACTGGTATACAAGCAGGTTTTTAAAACTATTTTCAGTTCTTTAGGATAAATAGCCAGAAGTGAGATTTCTGGATCATAGGGTATTTCTGTTTTCACTTTTTGAAGTACCTCAGTTGTGTTTTTCATAATGGTTATATCACTTGAAATCCCACCAACAGTGTACCAGTTTCTCTTTATTCTCATCAACACTTATTTTCTGTTTTTTCAAAGTAGCCATTCTATTGTAGTAATTTTATATACGGTCCTTTTTTTGTAATCCTTAGCAAACTTGTTGCAAAGTGTAAGTACCAAATTTACAGCAGTGAAATTTTAACATAAAAAAAATCCATAAAAGAAAAAGCAGAGCCAGAAGTGGGGATGGGGAAGTGGTAAGGAATAAGGAGTAAATGAGGGCAAGAGCCCAAATTTCTGACGGAGGAATGTATGTAGTATACTCTGGTGGTGAATTTGGCTGGTGACATACATATGAAGAGGTGTAAACTAGCACCTATGCATATATGGTGTTGGGGAATACAAATAATAATAATAATAATAAATAAAGATCCAAAAGAAAGCCAAAAAGAGTGAGAGAAAGAAAGAGAAGGATTCCACTTCAGGTTCTGCTGAACTTGAACAGTTTGTTCTCAGTTTTAGTCACAAAATCAGTTAATCAGTTGAACTCTTTTTTCCTAAGGTACAAGAATCACAAGATATTAGGGACTGACCAGAATTGTGTGATTTTCAAAATGAATTTGAGGTTTGGAGCAGTGGTTTTCAGGTGTTATCTCCTGGCTGGTAACATCAACATTACTGGGAACTTGTTGGAAATGAAAATTCTCCTATCTCAAAATCTACCAAATTAGAAGCTCTACATTAGAAGTTGGGACAGCAGCCTGTTTGAAATAGATCATGATGTTACAATTGCAATTCAGGTTTCAGCACCACTAACATAAATCTAAGTCACCCTCCAAAACTTTTACACTATTGCTGAATAGGATTCTAACATATGGCAAGCACTTTGAGGATTCCAGAGCAATCTATGTGATAAACCTGTGTTTCATGGTTTACACTCTATTTTTCAGGAAAGTTTGAATTGTAATTAGAATTATGTTGGAATGGTAGTTCTCTATCCATTTGGAGGGTCGATAAATTTGAATTTATCAGAGTTGCTTATAAAAAAAATGCCACCAGCAAACAGCCATTCTCCCAACTCAGTATTTATCTGTTAACAACAAGATTTTCATCCCCAACTGCAACCAAGCCCCTGCTTTTGCCCCCACCCTTTAGTGGGTCTAGAGTAAGCTCTGTACTGACAGGAAATAGCTGTGGAAACAAACACGCTATAGCCATTCTTCCCATTGCTATTGCAAGGTTACTCCTTGAACCTGCCACTGATGGCTCCAGTTCTAGCCCATGGCCCTATGTGCCCTCATCCAGTTTCTAGGAGCCTTGCAAGGAAAAAGGCAGAGACTCACACATTACACTTTCATCTGAAAATTGAAAGACTCTGATTGTAATCTTAGCATTAGAATTATGGTTTAAAACTGTTGTCTTAGACATCATTACTACTAAAAAAAAAAAAATCCCAAGTTATCCTGGCTTAATAATATGAGTATATGAGTTAGCCTGCCAAAAATATAGGCAGGCTTTTGCCTTTCCATCATGCTATCAAGTGAAAGTTCTTTCAGTGGAACAGAAGACTATGAGTATCTGGAGGCTTTGAAAGGCCTGGTGGGGGGGGGTAGTAGACAAAAAGACAATGTTCCTAGGGTTCCTTAGAAAAAAAACAGATGTTTGGGAGTGGGTTTGAGCTATTTTATTGATAAAAGCATGACCCTCTCATAGTCTCCTGATATTATAGAACTTTCATCATGTTTCTCATTTGCCCACCACTCTGCTCTGTCCTGTCAGAGCTCCCTCTTCTGGTCACTGAGACTTAGGAATCAAAGTTAAACCCTGTCCCTAATATATTTTTATTTGGCAATGTGGCTAAAAATGAAAACTGTTGCTATGTAAAGCACATATGAAAATATTCAAATCTGCCATAAGATATTGCTGGAAACTCAAGTCTAGAAACCATATTACTGAAAATAAGTTCCAACTGAAATTCCTCCACACAATATGTTCCAGTAATTTAACAACCCTCAAAACTATTTTACCTACTTGTCCACTTTTAGCAGGGTTGCATAAATAAATATCAGCATTCCCTCTGCACTCTTCCAACGTACACATCAGCACACTGACAATTGCAAGACTGACTTAAATGATCATGTAAATCACCAGTGAAATGTAAGAATTTGGATGCTTTCCCATAATATCAGAATTGGAATGCTCTTTACTCATCTTTAGACCTGTCAATGTTATCTTACAATATCTGACACTTGGTTTGTCTTAAACATTAACTCTGTGATAGAAGTTGATCAATAGTCAGTCTCAATTACCCACTTCCTTCCCAAATCAATACACATATCTCTTTTAAAGAAATTAGAATGCACACAAAATTTGATCCTATTGCACTAACTTACTGAACCTAAAAAAAGGAACAAATTACTTTGATGCCAGTGATTTTCTTTGTGCTCTTGTAAATTAATAAACTATAACACTTCCACCTTTTAAGTAAACTTTCTATCATTGATTAATCCTTAGAGACTAATTGACTTACATTTAAAAAAAAACAATGTATTGATTTTCTGAATATGTAAACTGCAATACTAGCAAATAGTATACATGTTCATTAATTTTATTAAACATACAAAATAGTAAGTTATGTATTTGCTCCAACTATTCAGCGCCCCCCCCCAAGGAACTAAGTGTTCAGATCTCTAAAACAGAAGGTATATGAAAACACCACTAATTATATTTGTTTTTAATCACTTTTAAAAATCTGTCTGTGGGCTAGAATTATTTATGTTCTTTTAGCTAGGATTATTTATGAAAACAGCTGCTACTTTTAATATGACATCCTTGATAGTATACATTTAACTTGCCTTCAGCAACAACCCAATCAATCACAATCACAATATATGCTTACTTACCTCCTAAGCCTATTCTGCTGGATCAGCTGGTATTGCATGCCACTATACTCCAAGCCAAGATAAAACCGAGAGAAATCAAGCAACTTCCCGACACTTTCAGAGAAAGAAAATTAGTGAATGAAGTGGGCCTTTCTATGTTACTCTGTTAATGTTTGCAATTCTCACCTTCCCCCTCAAAAAAAGTATTGAGAGATCAATATAATACTTAAACTTTTTAAGTAGCAATAAATCTTTTTTTAAAGATTAATTATGTATACAGAACTGGTGTACAGGCCAAAGGTGCAAGGACAGTGAGTGGATTCACCAGAGAAAGAGTGAGGAGCAGAACAGGCAGACCGGCAAAGTACATTGCTGAGGGGAGCAGCGGGCAAGATGGAAGAGGTCTGCAACCCCATCTGGGTCACCTCCCAGCTGAGGCTGGAACTTGCACTGAAACTGCTGCCGCTAGCTTGCAGTGCTGCCTCCTAATCCATCGTACCACCAAGGAGGGTCAAGCAATAAATTTTAATGTATATTAATATACTTCCAGTATGTTAATGAAATAAAGTTTCTAACAAGAATGAAATAGAGGGACCAGAATTAGAAAACAAGCTCAAATGTTTCTCATTCAAAATAGGTATTTGCAATATATAAGCATACTTTCTACATTAGAAAGGGGAAAAAAATACGGGAATTAATTTAGATGATACTTCAATAACATAAGAAACATAGTTACTTAGAGATACAATCACAATCTTATTTTTTTTTCCTCTTGTCACTAGCTAGTTGTAAACTTGGAAGAGTTAGCATTCTATTCCACTAATGAAGACTAATAAACAAAGAGTATATATTTTCATTGATTTACACAACAATCACCTGAAAGAAGAAAGCAACTAATGTGCTTCATACAGCACATACAGCTATGTTATGACTTAGAGAAGTGCTTTTCAAATTTTACTAACTAATGCAGATTTGTGGCTCCTTTTTAACCCAGTAAGTTTAGGATATGTTAATACCTGATATCACTCTCAGGAATTCTGTAAAATTAGAATTCAGTCTACTAGTTGAAAAACATCAATTTAAGGTAAATGTGTTTATTATTACAACAGAAACTATAGAATAGTCAGGTAAGATACCAATATTACATCAGGTATTTTAAATATTTTATATTACTATACTAGTATATCAAGTTCCATAGCATTTAAAGAGTTACTACATAGCATTTAAAGAGTTACTAAAAACAGTTAAGATTTATTCATTCCAGGTACAGTTTTCTCATTTTGGTTGTTAAAAAGTGAACCATAGCTTTTTTTTAATTGGCATTGAAAAAGTTCAATGTGTGAACTTGAAATTTTTTTTTAACTTCTAGTTCATTTATAATGTCTTATGGTTGCCATTCTTAAAAAAAAAATGTGGAATCACACTACTTGTTGTTCTTTCTTTTTGGTTTCAAGGGAAGACGAGGAAAAACAGGTCCTCCAGGAAAACCAGGACCTCCAGGACCACCTGTGAGTAAACAGTTGGAAGACTGGCTTTTCAGAGTCTCTTGGTTTTGCATTTATTTAAGGTTATCTTACTGCTCTGTAGAGAAAGTTTCTATCTTTTACTTCTACTCATGAATCCATTTTCTCCTCTTTCCTTATTGCCACCTCTTTAGTTGAGGTCCCTTTCCTTCCATATCCACATTTCCGTAGCTATCTCAGAGTTGGTCTCATTGCCTCTGCATTGTGCAGAGTAATATCTAACTCATAACTGACTACATACCTCTTTGACAATTCTTTATTAACCTCCCTTTTCTTCCATGTCTACTACATGCCTTTCTGCATCTTTTGTACTTAGCCCTTTACCTGTCTGTGCCTGTCCTCCTTTGTGCCCTTCTTTCTTTTATAGTCTACAGTGTAATCTTTCTTTACTACCTCTAAAATGTCATATATTGCACATATTCTCCTGGAGGCATAGATAAGTGTCCCTAATCTTTGTGACTCAGCTCAGCATCAGTCCCCTACAAAACCTTTGCAGTGCTCTCAGCATGAAAGTGTTATCCCCATGACCCTTATATTCTTATTTCTAAAAGGATTTATTTATTTATGCTTACAAAACTGGGGTATAGGTCAGAGGTGCAGGGGCAGTGAGTGGATTCACCAGACAGAGAGGGGAGCAGAACAGGCAGATTGACAAAGTAACACTCCTGAGGGGAGCAGCAGGCAGGTCAGCAGAGGTCTGCCACGCCATGTAGGTCAGCTCCCTGGCGGGGGATCAAAGTAGTGCTGCAGGGCTCCGGAGAACTTCATAACGTGGTGCTTTAACCCATTGCACCACCAGGGAGAACCTGAACCTTATAATCTTATACCTTCTACATGGCTAGCACTTTGTACTGTGACTGTTACCGTCCTTATCTGTCTACCCACTGCACTATGAAATTTTTTAACATCTGTCTCATCACCATAGCCTAGCATAGTTTTCTGGCATGTAGCATGTAGCATGTGATTTTTAATTATTTATAAATGAGTGAACAAACAAGTAAGTGAACAAATAAAGACCAGAAAATAATTGTTTTGAAGACCAGAACCACCCTCCACTTCCACTATAGGGTTCCAGACTTTGCACCTTATAGGAATTGCTCAGGGTGAGGTCAAGTACCAAAAATGAATACTACTTGTTGATTGTGTACTGATCATTGATTATGTTCACTTTACCCATTCAAGTGAATTGCTCTGAATGGTTATCAGTGTACTGATATCAACTGAAACTGTTTATAGAAGTATGTAGGAGGAATGAGGTATTAATTGGGTATCTTAGAATATAGTCTTTAAAGGAATGAGCTTGTTTTTATTCCAAACTTTCTAGCAAAACAGAGAACACATTGTAAGATTTTCAATAATTGCCTTGTGCTTTAGAGAAGAAAAGCTGGTGAATGCTAACAGGCAAGATTAGACCTTCATGTAGTTTTCTAAATGTGTGATGCTGCTTTCAAGACAGGATAATTGTTGTCTCAAAGGAGGAATTTGAATGATGAAGGCCTTTATGACAAGCTTGCCAAATGTCTCAGAGAGGATTACACTGAATTCTGGAATGAGTTTTCAACTGTAGATCAAAGGAGTTTACTAAAGAGTTTCAAAGATTAAGCAATATGTGACTATATGCAAGAATGCATAATATTCATCCACAAGTTTTAGTTTATTGCCAGAATATTGGAGGAGGAAAGGTACTCATTTTATTTCAAGTATTGGAATTATAATTTAAAATCAGCTATAGGCCCAGTACACAGTATTCATTAAATCCTGCAATCACAGATTTTAAAGAAAAGTGATTTGTTACTTTTGTAATATAAAGCAAGCCCCATTTGTTAGACTTCAAAAGACAGTGAAAATTTACGCAAAAAAGAAAAGATTTTTTATTTACAAGTCAATAATTTTTGTTTTGTTTTATTACATTTTAAATTATTTTTAATTTATTTCATAAGGTACCCACATACCTTGGGTACCCACCTAGAGGAAGTACACCCACCACCAATTCACCCATAGTCCCCACCATAGCCCACTGTACTTCCTCTCCTCCTTGTTCTTAACCACCCCCCAACAGTTCCTTATCTTATGTTTCAGTTATGTAGTCACCTATCAAAGGCTAGTTTTTAAGCTAGTCTCTATCCAGCACTTAACTTAGATACTTTATCTTACACATATTAGTGACACCATTCAGTACTTATCTTTCTCCTCACTTATTTCACTTCATGTTATCCTTTCTAATTTCACCCACTTGACCACAACTGGCATGAGTTTATCTTTTTCCATCAGTGAGTAGTATTCCATTGTGTGTATATATACCACATCTTCTTCATCCACTCATCTGTTTGAGGATGTTTAGGCTGTTTTCATAATTTAGCTATAGGAAATAGTACTGCAATAAAGGTGGGAATAGAAGTTTCCTTTTAAATCATTGTTTCTGAATTTTGGAGATAAATGTCTAGGAGTGCAATTACTGGGTCAAATGGAAGATCCATTTTTAATGTTTTGAGACTCCTCCATACTCATTTTCACAAACACTAGAGCCATTTGCAGTCACACCTTTACCAGCACTTGTCTCTTTGATGTGGGCCATTCTCATTGTGTGAAGTGGTATCTCGATGTGGTTTTGACTTGCATTTCCCAGATGCAAGTGATAGTGAACATTTTCTCATGTGCCTGCTGGTCATCTGTATGTCTTTTTGGAGAACTGCCTATTCCCCCTGCCCATTTTTTTGATTGGATTATTTTTATTTTTGTCATTTTATGAGTTCTTTGTATATCTTTGATATCAATCCTTTATCAGATTTATAGTGTGCAAATATTTTCCACCACCCGTAGAGTATCTTTTTGTTTTAGTTATGGTTTCTTTCACCATGCACAAGCTTTCTAGTTTGATGTAATTCCAGTTCATGTTCCTTTTTGTGTTTCCTTGCTGTTGGGAATGAATCCCTAAATGCATCACTGAAGCTTATGTGAGGAAATGTTTTGCACCTGGTTTCTTCTGTGTATTTTTTTTTCTTCTATGTATTTTATGGTTTCAGGATTACATCTAAGTCTTTGATCCATTTTGAATTAATTTTCATATGGTGATAAATAGTGGTCTAGTTTCAGTCTGTTGCAAGCATCTGTATAGTTTTCCCTTTTATTAAAGAGGCAACCCTTATCCCAATGCATGTTTTTGGCTCTTTTGTCGTAGAGTAACTATCCACATGTTTGGGTTTATTTCTAAGCTCTCAATTCTATTTGACTAGTCAGAGTGTTCAACTTTTGTTTAAAAAAAAAATACTATCCCCTTACTCTGCTTAAGTATTGTGGCTTATAGAAGCTCTTGTCTCTGATTTTGGGGTAATTCCTCTAGTTGAGTAAAACATATTTTCTATAATACAAGTACTATCAAAATTTATCATGGAGTATAGCTTTCATCAGAATTTGGATGATAGTTTGAATGGTGGTGTGTGTAATATCAACATGTTACAAAAAGAAATCTTATGATGTTTCTACCTCTCTTTAAAGGAACTACTCATAGGGTGTATTGAGACTGGCTCCCCCATTTTTCTGTGACACCTTTATGTTTAATTTTTTTAAAACTTAATGTACATTAGTCAGAAAGCTATTGTTTTCCTATTGATTAGAAGTGAACAGAGTTCTTTGAAATCAGTCCCTTCAAGCTTATATTAACTAATATTTTTAAGAAAATGTGTTTATAAAATATAAAATGCTTCCAGTTCACAATGTTTGATAGCTTCATAAATTTTATTTCAGGCCTAGTATGTGCTTAATGCTTGGTTAGGAGCTTGGCTTGAAAAAAGGAACATGATATTGTCCTTGCCCTCCAGAGATTCAAGTTTAATTCACAGAGATGTAAACAAAAGTAGAGTTTAGAAAAAGGTGGTTTCCTTCAGGAATTAACATCTAAAGCATAAAAGTTGAACCTTTAAAAAGAGAAGGAATTCCTGCCAGTTACAACATAGATAAACTCAGATGATATTATACTAAGTGAAATAATGGCTTAAAATAAAGACTGCATGATCCCACTTATATAAGATTTCTAAATAGTCATAGAAGCAAAAAACACAGTAGTGGTTGTCAGGAATTGAGGGGTAGGGAGAATGGGAGTTATTACTCAATAATTAACAAGTTTCAGTTATCCAAAATTAGAATTCTGGAGCTCTCCTTAACAACCTAGAACCTATAGTTAATAATAAAAATTTTGTACACTAGATGTTATTTTAAATAGCTTTAGCACAAATTAAGGGAACTCTGGGAGAGGTTTCCACTACAATTACCTTATTGTAGTGATGGTTTCATGGGGTTTACATATGTCCAGTCTCATCAAATTGGACATATTAAATATGTGCCATTCCCTCTTTGTTGATTAGGACTCAAAAAGGCTTTTTTTTTTTAAGTTGTAATTTGTCGTGTAAAGCAAATAGAGGGAAAGGAAAGAGCAAGCTAAGTTCAGGTGACCCCCTGAAGAAAAAAAAAAATGGAGTGTTGCTAGCTCTAGGGAGGGGGGACAGTTGAGCAGCCCAGGTAGTTCTGAAACCCAGAGCACCTGGCCAGCACTGGCCAGTAAAGGCCAGGCAGGATCCTGAAGAAGTTCATGTGAAGTTCTGAGAGTCATGAAAAGCCACCGAAGTTGTACTGAGTCATTAAGTGGAGAGTGCTGTGGCCACATCTCTTAGCACAATGGCTTTTGGTGATTGAGAGAATAAGCAAGATTCACTGAGCTCTCATAGTATGTACTCTTAAATACTTCTTGAAGTGCCAGCAAAGTAATTTTTTTTATGTTAGAATGTCCCAACTATTTGTATTTTATAACAACTATATATAGCTTAAGAAACATTCCTGTTTACTTGTGGACATTTTGAGTTCAAAATGCTGTTGTTATTTTGTCTTCTCCAACATCGTACTCTCTGTGAGGAGAACCTTGCTATAGACACAGCAGGGAGGAAGGTATACAAGAAAGAAGGAAGAGTTGGTTAGTCTAAAACTCTTCTGAT